AAAGCTTTCAGTTTTTGTCCATTTAGTATAATGTTGACTGTTGATTTGTCATAGATGGCTTTTATCAGAATGAGATAAAGACCATTTATTCCAATTTTCTGTAGGGTTTTTATCATGAATGGGTGTTAAATTTTGTCAAATACTTTTTCTGCATCTATTGAGATTATCATATGGTTTTTGTCCTTGGCTCTGTTAATATGGTGTATTTTACATTTATTGATTTGCATGTGTTGAACCATGCCTGCATCCCTTGGATAAATCCTACTTGGTCATGATGTGTAATCTTGATGTCCTTCACTCTGTTTGCCAGTATCTTACTGAGAATTTTTGCATCTATGTTCATTAGGGAGATTGGCCTGTAGTTCTCTTTTTTGGTCGGGTTCTTCTCTGGTTTGGGTATCAGGGCAATGCTTGCTTCCAGAAATGAATTTGGGAGTATTGCTTCTCTTTCAATTTCATTAATGAGTTTGAGAAGTAGTGGCATTAGGTCTCTAAATTTCTCATAAAATTCAGCAGTGAGTCCATCAGGGCCTGGGCTTTTCTTTATTGGTAGGGTTTTTTTTATTATTATTACATCTTCCATTTCATTGACTGATATTGGTTTATTTGGAATTATTATATCTTCTTAGATCAGCTTTTGTAATTCATATGTATCTAGGAATCTGTCCATTTCTTCTGTGTTTTCTATTTTATTAGAATAGAGGTTCTTGAAGTAGGTATTGATGGTCTGCTGGATTTCTGCAGAATCACCCTTTTCATTCCTAACTGCATGGATTTGAGTTTTTTCTTTCCTTTTTCTGATAAGGTTGGCTAAAGGTTTGTCAATTTTATTTACTTTTTCAAAGAACCAACTTTTTGATTTATTGATTCTTTGTATTGTTTTTAGTCTCCGTTGCATTAATTTCTGCCCTGATTTTTATAATTTCCTCCTTCATATGAGCTTTGGGCTTGACTCACTCTTCTTTTTTTGGTACCAGGGATCGAACTCCGGTCCTCGCGCTTGCGAGGCAGGCGGCAGAACCACTGAGCTAAATCCCCGGCCCTCACTCTTCTTTTTCTAGAAGCTTGAGGTTCAACATTAGATTATTTATTCGAGCTCACTCTGTTTTTCTGATATGGGAATTCACCGCTGTAAATTTCCCTCATAGGACTGCTTTCACTGTGTTCCATAAGTTCCAGGATGCTGCACTGACATTTTTGTTTAATTGTAGAAACTGTCTAATTTCTTCTTTTTTTTCTTTTGTTACTAATTTCTTCTTTAATTTCATCTCTGACCCACTGGTTGTTCAAGAGAGTGTTATTAATTTCCATGTGTTTATAAAATTCTTGTGGTTCTTTTGCCATTGATTTCCAGTTTTATTGCACCATGGTCTGATAATATGCATGGGATAACTTCAATTCCTTTGTATTTACTTAAGCATGCATGTTCTATGAGCTAGTATGTGGTCTATTTTGGAGAACATCCTATGTGCAGCTGGAAAGAATATGTATTCTGATGTTGTGGTGTGGAACACCCTGTAGACATTTACTAAGTCCATTTGTTCAAAAGTTTGGTTCAGTTCTGATATTTCTTTGTTGATTTTTTTGTCTAGTTGATCTGACTATCTTTGACAGTGAAGTACTGAGGTCCCCCATTACAATTCTATTACTGCTTATTTTAGTTTTCATGTCCATTAATATCTGTTTTGTATAGTTGGGTGTGCTGTTATTTAGTGCATATATATTTATGATTGTTTTATTTTCCTCTTGGATTGTTCCCTTTACAAGGATATAGTGACCTTCTTTGTCTCTCTTAATCAGTCCTGGCTTGAAATCCACTTTGTCTGCAAATAGAATAGCTACCCCTGCCTTTTTCCCAGGTTCCTGTCACATGGAATATTGTTTTCCATCCCTTAACTTTGTCTATGAATTTGTTTTTTAATTAAATGTATTTCTTGTATGCAGCATATTGTTGGATCTTGACCCATTCTGCCAATCTGTTTCTTTTGATTGGTGAATTGGGACTATTAACATGGATTTTTGTAACTGATATGTATTGACTTATTCTTGTCATTTTCTTGTTATTGGTTCTCTTTATTCCCCAAGTTTAATTTCTTGCCTTGCCTGGTGAATTCATTCTGTTGGGGTTCATGGAGTTGTAGTCCTCATTATCTCTTTCTAGACTGTCCTTCAGAACATTTTGGAGTGCTGGATTGATGGTCATAAATTTCTTCAGGTGTTCTTTGTCATGGAAGCATCTTATTTCTCTATCAATTTTGAAAGATTGTTTTGCAGGGTACATCAATCTGGGTTGGAGGTTGTTTTCTTTTAGGGCTTGAAATACTTCACTCCAAGCTCTCCTTGATTTGAGGGTTTGTGTTGAGAAGTCTGCTGTGATTCTGATGAGCTTTCCTTTATAGGTGCTTTTTTTTCTTTTCTCTAATAGCTTTTAATATTCTGTTCTTGTGTTGAGTTTCTGGAATCTTGACTATTATATGCCTTAGGGTAGATTTTTTTTATCATAGTGGATCTCAGACTCTTGATAATTTATATGACATTCCTCTCTGACCCACATTCTCCCCTACAGGAAGCATGGAAGTCTGACCTGCTCTCCACATTTGGGCTAGTAGTAAAGTTTCTTTCTCCTACCAAACAGGCAGTTCCATGGTCACTAACTCTTTTTCTGTCTTCTGAGAGGTTTTTCTTTCTTCAACTAAGCCAGTGAGCCACAGCACTCCAAGGTAGTTGGAGGGCACATAATCCCCCCTAGGTAGGATCTGTAGTCCCTTCCAGCCAGAAGAAACTATAGAAGATAGAGACTTCCACTCTCTCAGCAGCCCATAAAGAATTGTGGGGATTTGTTTCTCTCAGGGAAATAAGGTAGGAAGGCAGAGCATAGCAAAGCTGGTTGGGGGGGAGTAAGAGTGACTAGATTCCAGGACATACATCAAATAATTCCCAAAGCCCCATACATGGAGTTCTCACAGGTTCCCATGATATGTGGAAGAAATAAAGAGATGGGATGCCATTGAAAGTGTGCTACCATGGCTTTCCTCACAAGAGTAGCCTGCCTTGTGGCCCCAGGGTGTACTTTTATTTTGGTCTTTAATTTTTCTGCTCTCTTGCTTGGCCCAAGTTCTCCACAGCCAGTTTCTCCCTTGCCCTTCACTTTTAATTTTTCAAATAAACTTTGTTACTGTTTTGTTTGTTTCACTCAATTCTTTGGGATAGAAAGAACGTGGAAACCAAGACACTAGCACTCCAAAACCTGATGACACTTCTATTACGGAGTTCTTGCCTCAGAGCCAGCAAACCAGGGAATGAATCCTCTGACACTGTGAGATAGATAAACCTCTCCTCCTTTAAGTTGCCGTTGTCAGGTATTTTGTCCCAGCAACAGAAAAGCGACTAATATACTCCTTTTTAACAGTGTATTATACTTTTAGCATGTGTCTCCCTCAGACTGTAAGCTCTATAGGAATAGAAACTATTTTGCCTCCAATAGTATCTGTTCAACAAATATCTGCTCAATGACTGAATGCATATACTAGATTCAGTCACCTGGTCCTGCCTATATTTCTTCCTGGAGTAGGGATCCCTAGCCCTTGAAGGCCTGGGTCTATGTTTAGCGGGTCCTGAATTTCAGTGGAAAATTTTATGTGCTGTATATATCCAATACATGTAAAGCAAAAGATGGGAGATTCAAGCTGTCGTCAGATCCACCACAGGTCCATGAAGTTAAGAGCAGCTGCATCAGTATTCCCCAGCTAGCTTATCCTCTCAGTGTCAACCTCCCCTCAGCAACTATGACAGTCTCACATCCAGTTTTGTTGTCTAAAGACTCATCTCTGTGCTTTGGTCATAGCCATCTTTTAAAAGCATAAATCCAGGTCACTCTCCTGTCCAAAACCATTCTGTATCTGCGTAATGCCCTTGGAGCAAAGTGCAAACTCTGCTAGGCTGAAGAGGGTGTTCTAGTCTGTCTGCTTTCGGATCCTCAGATGTCCTTATGGGGCTCCTTCGTCTTCCCAAATCCATCATCCAGCACCACAGGGTTTTTTGGGCTTCCCAGATTGTACCAGGGTAGTTTCTCCTGTCCTGACTCATGCACCACCCGCTCTGTGTTGCACCAGCCCTCTCCTCTGCGTCTAGAAACGCCTACTCAGATGTCTCTTTGGGGCTCGGTGCCCTTCCTCTCCGCTCCAAAGGGCTGTGCTGTCCCCAACGACAACACTCCACTAGACATTGAACTATAGTTGCTTAGTTACCGACTGCGTCTCCTGCCCTCCCGCTTTGAGGGCAATCTCCACGTCTTATTCATCTTTTTTTTCCCCCTACCCTAGCCGATGCTAGCTCAGGGTAGGACGCTTCGTACGGATTTGTTCCGTGTGTGAACGAATTAATAAACTAATGACAACTCATGCCTGGTTCATGGATCCTAAAAAATGTGTGAAATGTGCCAGACATGGTAGCACACGCCTGTAATCCCAGCGCTCAGGAAGATGAGGCAGGAAGGCAAGTTCGAGCCCAGCCTGGGCAATTCAGGGACTTAGCTAGATCCTGTTTTAAAATAAAAAATTAGAAAAGGTCTGGTTTTGTAGCTCAGGGCTAAGATCCTGGGTTCAATCCCCACTACCAAGACAAACAAAACACAACAAAACTGTGAAATGAATAAATGAGTAAGAAACTGGAAGTCCGAACCCAGCGAGAGATACAGAGGCGATTAGGGAATCTGGAGATAAGTAAACGGGTCGCGTTCACCCTTCAGAGGATTAACATGGAAGACAAATTCCCGCAACTAGAAAGCCTGAAGGATCAGGAGGAAGTGGTTCCACAAGGGCCGGCCTCCGGGGCGGGTCCAAGTCTGGGTACGCCCCCTATCCAATGGGAAAGCTTGTTGCCTTCCGAGTCTCCGCCCAGCCGCTTCACGGGGCGAGACTACACTTCCCGGCGTGCCTCACGGCTAGGGCAAACGAGCAGCCGGAAGTGGGGTGCGCGGGGGTCTAAGGTCACGAGGGAAGTGGCGGGCGGGACAGAGGAGGGGCTTGCAGGTGAGCCGGTAGGCCGGGGGTTGCGGGCATGGCAGAGGCCAGGAAGCGGCGGGAACTGCTTCCCCTGATCTATCAGCATCTCCTGCACGCGGGCTACGTGCGCGCGGCGCGGGAAGTGAAGGAGCAGAGCGGCCAGGTAAGCGATCGCGGGCCGCGTGCGGGAGCCAGAGAGCAGCGGCTCGCGCCCCCACCCTAGGCTGGCCCCGGGTCTCGCGGGGATCCAGGCTGGAGCCCAGGGGTGCGGGAGGGATTCGTAGCCTCTGCCTATCCTGTGCTACTTCCAGTACCCACCTCGACCTCAGTTTCCCCCGTCCGTGTAATGGGCGTGGCAGGACATGTGATTTAACGGTCAGAGATTTGTAATTCCCGAGCCCCTTACCTCCACCCCCTTCCTGGTAGTGGCGGTGTTAAGTTTACTGAATCTTCAGCCACGTGGCCCGGCGCGGCCCCCTCGGACCGCAGAGTCTGCTGTGGTTGTCGGGGTCAGTAGCTACCGGCTCCCCGGGGATCCCCCCAAGAAGAGGGACGCCGTAGTTGTTGATCTGGAACTCAGACTCTTGGCTATGCTCGGTACTGATAGGACAGCTTTGGGGAATGGAAAGTTCTTTTGGTTTTGTTTTCTCTGTTCTTCATTCATTCGGCAACTGTAAATCAGGCGCTTAGGGTGCTGGTGATAGAACAGTGAGCACCGCCCCTCAGCCTTCCTGGATCTTACAGTGTGCTAGGGGATACACATTAAAGAATTTCAAAAGGGACTGAACACTGCATTGAGTAGTAAAAATGAGAGGCATGGAGTACTAAAAGAGGGATAGAAGAGTGCCCTTTCAGGACTGCTTTCCTGAGGAAGTGACACTTGATCTGAAGGAAGGGAAGGTGTTCCAGGCAGAGGTGCAAATCCCTTGGAGTTACACCGTGGCCTCCAGAAGAGTCTGCTGTGCTGAAGTGTGAAGAACAAAGGCTAAGTCTGCCAGGGAGGTAGAGGCAGAGGCTGGCCTGAGCTGTCCCTGAGCAGTTTGGACTTTGCCTGAGGATCAGTGGTAAACTGTTGCAGTTTTAAGCTGGTGAGATGGGTATTGACCTGACTAGTCAGTATCAGTTTGGCTAGAGTAAAGGTTCTGATCCTAACTCTTGCTCTCAGGATCTCCTGGAGGAACCAAAGGGTGATGAACCCTAAGACGTTATCTGTGGTTTTCCTAACCTTCTCTGGATCTCAGTTCCCTGTTTGCTCCAGTTATATCGCTTCACAGATAAGGGGAGTAAGAGATAGTGCCCACTTTATTAGAGCGTTGCCCAGGCAAAAGTATCTTGCTTTTTTGTGCCCTCATGGAGCCAATGGCCTAGCAGGAGCAGACAGTAACAAATATAAAGTGGAAACTTAACAGTGTAGTATATCCAGTTGATTGTAGGTGCTGGCTGTCACAATAAGGAAGGCAAGGGGGAGAAGGAATGTCGGAGTCCAAGTGTAAGTGGGTAGTCAGGGAAGCCTCATTGAGGGGGTGACACTGAGGTAGAGACCTGAAGGAAATGAGTGAGTAAGCTGCATAGTTAGCAGAGGAGAGAGCAAGAATGGCAAAGCCCTGTTAGGGGCTGTTGGCCTGACACATTTGAGCACTGTGAGGCATACTGTACCAGGACAAAACTGATGCTTGGAGTCCTAGCCCACTGTGCTGTGCACTGTCGTAGATTCTCCTTCAGCCTAACAGCAATCAGGAATGTGGGTGTTGCTGTTTTCCCCAAGTTGTAAAGAGAGATCCTGAAGTTTGAAGAGGTAAGGAGATTGGCACAGCAGGTTAACAGGAACTCTCCCTCACTCAGGTGTGCCTCTTGGCCACTCTGCTCAGGTTGCCGACACCCTGTGTTCTTGCCACTTTGTTCATAAGCCTCCATGGGGCACTTGACGTGCTGGGTTCTTGACATTTTCAGAGAGCAGGCAGGCCTGTGGCCTCAGCTCCAAGGGTCTGGATTCCACCTGGTTGCTTCTGCTTTTGGCAAGAAACTGGTACCCTATAGGTTTAGGCTCTTTCCAGCAGACCAGTGGGCTGTAGTCATTGCCACTTGGATGCCTCAAGTGTCTGCGCTGTGAGTTGTGCTTTGGGGAGACTGACTGACCAGGCCTTTGAAGGCTTTCTGAAAGGTTATGCTGGGGTGGGAGAAGCCTTGTCTCATAGCAATGTAGGTGTGGATAGTGCCAGGGAGGCTGGATAAATAAATGCTAGCTTGGAACATTCCAACTCCATCCTCTCAAAGGTTCCTCTTACCAACATGCTGTATTAAAAGGTTTTTTTCTGGAATTGCTGGCCTTGTCTCTGGAAGATTCTGAATGTTACTGGCAGGGCCGTGCAGATGTACTTCCCAGAGCAGAAAGACTCTTCGCTGAACCACCTGTCTATCTGGGGTCAGGAAGAGCTGGGACCGAGGAAGGTCTTTACTGTGCTCACGGTTGATTGCAACTCTCTCTTTACTTCTTGCAGAAAAGTTTCCTGGCTCAGCCTTTCACCCTTTTGGACATCTATACCCACTGGCAGCAGTAAGTTTGGTGGAGCAGATGGGTGGGATAGGGACAGCCTGGAATAAGCTATGATACTTCCTCAGCTAAGATCTTTCCCCTCTCCCCATAGGACACTATGGGTGGACATTCTTGTCACCCCTCTGGAAGCCAGGTCACATCAGATGTGTGGATATCTGGTAGTAAAATGAGGTGACATTGAGAGCTATGATCCCTTAAGAACAAAAGCTTCATGCTGGGCATGGTCGTGCACGCCTATAATCCCAGCACTTGGAAGGCTGAGGCAGGGGGATTTTCACGAGTGCAAGGCCAGTCTGAACTACATAGTAAGACACTGTCTCAAAAAAAAAAAGACCCCCAAAAAATGGTTTTTCACTAGCTGGTTATTCACTTGATCATCAAACATTTATAAGCATCTATGGAATGCCAAGTCGTGTTCTAAGTATGGAGATAGTGTTGAAAGTGAGATAGACCTGATTGCTTCTTTCCTGCAGCTAACATTGCAGTCAAGGATGTGGGCATGGGTCAAAGAATGAAACAAATGAACATAAAATGATGATGGTAGTAAGGAGTACCAAAGAGAGGAACAAAGTGATAAGCCTCACCTCCTTGAGGGCCCAGGGGAGGCTTCCCTGAGATGCCCTTTGCCCTGACAGCTGTGGGAAACAGGACTGAACTAGGCCATGGGTACTGAGAAGCAGGCAGAGTGTGCCCGGCAGTGGCCAGGGGACAGTACAGGTGCGGCTGGCAGTCAGCAGGGCCTGGCCCTCCAAGGTGAGGTCTACCCAAGAGCAGTGGGGGCCAGAAGGGCGAGGCACAGAGTGGGCTCCCTCTGCAAGGTGGGAGGACCATGAGGACAGCAGTTCCGGGAATGTTAGGGGAGGAAGCCACAACTGTGGATGGGTTAGAGGGGAAGGATCTAGTTGACTCCCAGATCTGACTTACACACCTAGGTAGAAGGTGGGTCGGTGCATGGGACTGAAAGGGAACCCAATGTGGTTGGTTGGTTTTTGTGGTACTGGGGGTTAAACCCAGGGCCTTCACACTGAGCTGCATCCCCAACCCCTTTTCTTTTTTTAAATTTTGAGACAGGGTTTCCCCAAGTTGCTAAGTTACCCAGTCTAGGCTGGAACTGTGATCTCCTGCCCCAATCTTCCAGAGTGCTGAAATTACATACAGGTGTGCACCACCACACCCAGCTGAAACTTGCAAAACTTAAAATTTTCCAAGGAAGGAGAATCTACTAAGGGTGCATCGACAGAGAAATGAAGAATGAAGGAGAGATATCTCAACTGATCACAGCCAACTGGGGGTGGGAAGTACCTAAACATGTCCCATGGAAGAATGGTAGCAAAGCCAGGCATGGTAGCACACACCTATAATCACAGCACTCTGGGAGGCTGAGGCAGGAGGATTACAAATTCAAGCCCAGCCTGGTCTGCTTTGCAGATTAAGAAGACCCTGTGTCAAAGTTTTAAAAAAAAAAGAAGCACTAAGAATAAAAGAAAGGATGGTTGTGTTCTCCCCATCCACTCTCTGACCATAGCTGACTAGGGAAGTAAAGGATCTGTAGATATGTCCTGTGAGGAATAGTAGCGAGAAGCCAGGTATGGTGGCACACCTGTAATCCCAGCACTCAGGAGCCTTAGGCAGGAGGACTCCCTTGAGTTCTAGGCCAGCCTGGGCTACATAGTGAGTTCAAGGCCAGGCTGAACTACATAGTGAAACCCTATCTCAAAAAACCAAAAAACAAACAACAAAAAAAACCCACCAAGAATGGTAGCAAGTATTGGAAGGGGGTGAGGCATCATCAGATGCACATCTTTGAGGACAGAGGAAGTAGTGTTTTGGTGGGGGGCTTCGGGTATGAACCTCCATTAGAAAGACAAGTTTCTGCTTCTGAATACAAACATTTGAACATCTGAGCTATCCAAAAATAAGGCAGATGACAGAATGGTGAGCTCCCACATCAGTAGCATGTAAACAAGGGCAGGAATGGTGTGGCCCATCCTGTGGGTGAGGGAAACCAAATGGGACCAGCGCCTCACTGAGGCAGTCTAGCTAAGTGATTGCCCACAAATCAGAATCACTAGCAGTGTGACCTGAAGCAAGTTTCTTGGCCAGGAACTGTACTTTCTTATCTTTGTTCATCTGTAAAATGAAAATAATACAGTTATCTCATTGCATTGTGAAGATTGTACATAGTAGTCTGCATAGTAAAGTGCTGGGGGCCAGCCATTGAGAGCTACCCCCACCCCATGTGTATTGTGCACCTACTATAAGCCAGGCACTATTCTTGATAGAGCAAGGAACAAACCAGAGGAAAAATTCCCTGCTCTTTTGTCTGTGTTCTGTTGGAAGGAAAGAAGCAGAACTAATTGATATGTGTACTAAATGAAATCTGCTTTTAGCAGGAAATTACTGACAAGCGGCCTTCCTGGGAAGAAGGTACCTGAGCAACACATGGCAAACTGGCAGAGCACTGTCACTCCCAGCTGAAACATGGGCATAGACAGCGATTCACTGGGGATGAAGAGGGTGGGCTTAAACAGGGTGATATTAATGTTCAGGGAACTCAACCATCTGGGCACTTGTCCTGCCAGTGCCCCAAACATGCTCCTCAACACTTAGTGGTTCCTCCTCAAGATGTGTATGAGCAGCCAGGCACTCGGAACCCCTCTTTCACGGAGACCTGGGCAGCCCAGAGGAAGGGGGCCTCATTCCCCACCCGTAGAGGCTCTCTAAGGGATCCAGGCCTGGCTATCTCTCTCCCAAGGCTGAGGATAGGCAGGTTATGCTCAAGCTAACAATACTTCAAATGGGTTTCTTAACGCTGGGTATTTTGCACAATTTTATAGGTCTCTTTTTTTAAGTGGAAGAAGTAGGCCATGTGGGTATCTGTGCCAGGTGAAGGGTTATCAGAAGGCTGTTGGATGTAATAAGTTTTCATTACAAGAGACCTGGCTGTGAGTGTGTATGTTCACGTGCATCCCTGTGTGAATGTGGCTGGCTCCCATATCCCCTGGGCTGCCCCCTTCTGCCGTTCCTGTTGGGTTGAGGAGTAGCCTGAGCTGTGGGGACAGGGAACATGTGCATTGGTCACAAGAGACCCTTGGGCCCCCACTGGGGCTCAGTCCCTCCTCTTCTTACCTTTCCTTCCTCCATGGACTGGAGATAACCAGTAGCTGAGGACCCTGCCACCCCACCCCCTGCCCCAGGTTAGGCTTTCCACATGGGCCCTGCCCAAACAGCTGAGGCTGGGAGTGATGGTGGGTGGGATGATGACATTGGGGAGCGGCTGTCGCCCTACAAGCCACACCCCCTCCTCTGAGCTCTGAGTGTGGGACTCAGTGCCAGGGTCTAAAGGACAAAGTGTTTCTGCCAGCTGAGGGGTTCCATCAAAAGCAAAGACAGGAAGAAGCAGGGTAGGCCAAGAGGTGAGGAAGGTTGGCCTAAATCTGGGCGAGAAGCCGGGAGCTGTACTTTCTTATCAGGATAGAGAATTGTCCCTCTGACCCCCTCCTTGGAACTTCAGGTGGGCTAAAGCCCTTGGAAAGTGACAGGAGGTCGCCACGTCTCGCCCTTCCTTGCTCCAGAGGCCAGTGGGTCACAGAGGATCCCCCTGGGAGAAAGAGCTCTGCCCCATCATCAGGGCCCTGCGCCATCCTGAAGTGGCCCTGCAAGGTGGGGTGAAGCTGACTGGAGGAGGGGACTCCCACCTGCTATTTATTTAGGCCAGTATTTTTTGTTCCTGCTTGTAGTACAACTTGTTTTTAAGAGTTGTTAAAAAAATGTTTGTGCAGGGCCGGGGATTTAGCTCAGTGGTTTCGCCGCCTGCTGCGCAAGCGCAAGGACCCAAGTTTGATCCCCGGTACAAAAAAAAAAAAAAAATGTTTGTGCAGTGCTGAGGGTACCATAGTCAGCTGCCAGCCCTCCTCTATCTCTGCTAGGCCTTTCTGAGTAGGGAGAGGCAGGCGTGCAGTAAATAACAGGAAATACAGAAAAATGCTTAGAAGGAAATGAAACCAGATGACAGGGCTGATGCAGGGTGGGGATGTAGTCGGCGAGGGCTGCTGATTTAGGAGTTCAGGGGGAAGGAGGGGACACAGGAAGAGGGCCCAGTCCCGGCAGCAGCAGCAAGTTCAGGAGGAGGAGGAGCCTGGGTGGTACTACACAGTGCCGCCACAGGCCAGCCCATCACCAACTGACCACTAGCTGAAGCTGCTCTGTGACCTCATCGGTCACCCATGATTATTCAAGACTTTGAATAATTTTACAATTTGAGAATTATAAATACATTTTAAAATATAAGTGAAAATGCAGAACACAAAATTATATCCACATTATATCACCATCACTGTTTGAACTCTGTACACGCTTCCTTTGGGGGCTGGGAGGAGAGGTGATGGTCTGTCTTCTTGAGTCTTGTGGAGCTGTCCTGTCACCCAGTTGGTATAACCAGTTACCCTTGACCTGCAGAACCTCAGAAATTGGCCAGAAGCGGAAGGCAGAAGACGATGCAGCTCTGCAAGCCAAGAAGACCCGAGTGTCAGATCCCATCAGCAGCTCCGAGAGCTCCGAAGAGGAGGAGGAGGAGGAGGAAGAAGCGGAAGCCAAAGCTGCCAAAACTAGTAAGAGCCCCAGCTGCTGGGTGTTGCCAGGGCTTGGTCTCAGGCTTCCCTGTCAGGCGCCCATTGCTGCTGCTCGTGGGGACTCACCCTGCACCTTTGGGAACAGCCTGTGGATATTTAGTGTACAGTCCTCCTCCAGGTTTCCCTTAGTGTGAGCAGAAAGACAGGCCCTTTTAGCAGGGAAGTTCAGAGGGCGCCACAGAACTGTTGAGATTTTGTGTCCTCAAGCTCTGGGAATCCAAAGGTGAACCCCAAAAAACCCAAGTGGGCCCTGCAGTACATACACCCCACCAGTAGAGCCCAGGACCTGCATTTTTACAAGCTCCTGGGAGATTGTGACAGAATAAAAAGACTATGTTTGCAGAGGGCAGCTGGTGTCCCTCGCCTGTTTGGCCTGAGTGCCGCTTGGGAGTTGCTGATCATCCCCTTGGCTTGGCAGTGTACACATGAGAGCTGGGGGCTGAGCTGAGCACTGGTTTAGAGTATTGCAGAGTGACCCAGCACAGGTCTCTCCAGCCCCTTCTACCTCCGAGATCCAGGCTCCCTGGCTTTCCCAGCTTCAGCTGTGGCTCTACAGCACAATAGCTGTCTCAAGCATCATGTTACCATTTTTTTGCTTATTCAGAAAATACTTTCTTGATTTTTAAATATAATTTCTGATTATAAAGGAGATGCAGGATTCATTATATAGTATTCATTATAGGATATTTGAAAATTACTTTGAAAAAAAGTCAGGGAAGAAATCACGTATATTCTTGCCACCTACAATTCAGCAAATTATTCTTCCATGTATTTTCTCTGAGCCTGCTTTTAAACATGTTTGAGATATTACTAGATATACATTTTATATCTTGTTTAATCTTCTTAAATTATAAATGCAAAACAAGTTTGCTTCAAAGTGTACAAAAGCAGGTAGAAAATGGGAGGTTTCTTGTTCTCTTCCTCTGTTCCCTTTTACTTTCTACTCAGGGTCTTGGTGGGTGGCTGTAATACTTCCTCCTCTACATCCACAGTCAGACAGATACCTATCTATGCATACATGTGCACAGTCCTGTATTCTGCTTAAAACAGAAATGGTCACAGCTCACATTGCCTATTTGATATTAATCATTTTTTAAAATTTATTAGCACGTTTTCAGTACATAATGGTTACATTTATTATAGGGAATTGGTACATGTAGACAGTATATCTTAATTCTTTAATTTTTTTTCTTCCCATACCCTGTCCTTCTGCTACCTCACCATTCCCTCCATTTTTAAAGCTGTGACAATTAGTTGTAATTATACTTTTAAGAGTCCTCATTGAAACAGGTTGGAGTATTTGTGAGCAATATGACAAAGTGTCTGGTGTTTTCTTCAAAATAATGCATGACAGGGCCATGGATTTAGCTCAGTGGTTTTGCTGCCTGCTGCGCAAGTGCAAGGACCCGAGTTTGATCCCCGGTACCAAAAAAAACAAAAAAAGCAAAACAAAATAATGCATGATGGAGAAGGGGAGATGAAGCAATAGGTGAAATAAGATTAGCCACAAATCCGCAGTGGTTGGAGCTGAGTGGTTCCATATACTTCTTCTCTACTCATAAATGTGTTTAAAACTTTTTATAATTATAGAAAGAGAGGAGAGATGGAGTTAAATGCTAAGAAAAGGATTCGATCATGCTATTCATCTCAGCAACATTCTCTTTAACAACTTAGAAATATTTCCCTGTCTGTTTGAGATCTCAAGGAGATTATCTTTATTTCAAGCACTAAAAATCTATTAATCTTAGTGTTTAATGGCCCAAGTCTCGTGGTTCAGCTGTTTGTCCACCAAGAACTCACTGGGATTCCCAGCATCTTTCTCCTGCTTGGGGCTAGCACCTGGCCACTCCCCCTACTTGCTGAGTGGCCTTCAGGGCTAAGTGCAGTGGCCTGAGTTGTGCAGTGTTTTGTGGTGTAGGTGGTAGAGCATAAGCCAATCCTTCACCTCTGAGGGGCTCTCAGCGCCTCCTCCCACGGGGTAACTGGGAGGCCCTGGGGTTGCAGACATGGAGCTTTTGTGTTATCTAGTGGACATGGCTGATAAATTACAGAGCTGTTTGCCACAAGTTTGGGCTCAGCCTCAGCCTTAGCCCTTCATGCCAGCACCAGGCAGCCAGTACCAGTCATATTGAGATGAAACCAGCCTGCCATCCTTGGATGAGAAGAGCCCATCTGCCTCATCCAGTGGGCATTTGTGTCTTACAGCCCCAAGACCAGCATCTACCAACTCCTCAGCTATGGGGATGGTTTTGCCATCAAGCATGAAAGAAAAGGCCAAGGTGAGTGGAACCACTTTCCAAGCTATTGCATGTGAGAACTCAAGTGCCCTTTAGTGTGTCAGACAAGGGTATTGCCCATCCTGGACTCAAATCTTTACCCGTGTCACCAACTGTGGGATCTTGGTGAGTCCCTCCTCCCCTCTGGGTGTCGGTTTCCTTTTCTGTAACATGCAGGTGACGCTGCTGCAGTGGGCTGCTGGGTACAACACCTGTGATGGGCAGTTTTGTTCCTCCTTTACCCCTATACTCAGCTGTTCCCCAAGGAGCTCTTTGCCAGTCTAGGCACGGCCCTGGGCAGTGGAGGCACTGTGGTGCTTATATTTCTGGAACTCTGGTGGCATTTTGTAAATCAGGAACTACATAGAAAACAGTGTATTTTCTGGTAACCCATAAAGCACTGTTACAGACCTGTAAAGGATTATGTTCCTTAAAACTGGAATGCTGGCAATAATGTGTAAAAGTAATTATGAATGAATGATAATACCCACAGCAAACTACTGCTTACCATGTAGCAACTGTAATGCAGTTTTCGAAGTGCCTCTGTGAGGGCAGTTTGCCCAAACTCACCTGGCTAGGAAGCAGCAATGGGGGGTTCCAGTGTGTGATGCCGTGCTCTGCGCGCTGTGCATCGTGCTGAACCAGGTGTGCCTGCCACTCTTATGCCCTGCAGGCAAAGACCAGGAACACCAGCAAGACGGTGAACTCTGTGCCACACCTTGCCTCAGGGAAGGCAGTAGTCCACCTCCTTTCTGGGAAGTCACCTAAGAAGTCAGCAGAGCTCTCCGGAAGTACTGTCTTGGTCTCGGAAACTGAGGAGGAAGGCAGCATCCAGGCTCTTGAAGCTGCTGCCAAGCCTGGTGAGAAACCCCCATCTCTAGGAGCTAAGCCAAAGCTGTGCTTTGTTAAGCTCTGGGACATTCTGGGATTCAAAGGTGTGCCTCCAAGACAGCGAGGGTCTGCACCTCCCCCGGGTAAGGGAGGACCAGCTGCAGGGACACCACGGGGGCTTGCTATGTAGTCCAGACTGGCCTTCAACTCCCAGCAGTCCTTCTGCCTCAGCCTCCTGAGTGTTAGGATTATAAGCATGTGCCACCATCCCTGGCCTATGAGTCCATTTCTTGTGTAAAAAAGAAATTTGTACACTTGCCTCTGTGGACCTGATAGTGAATAGAGCATTTATAAATGCTCAGGTGCTGATACATGTTTCTAGAGTCCTATTCTGGCCCTTTCCAGGGCCTTAGATTTGCAGGAAACAGGGATAACGAGGGTTCCCCTCTCAGGTGAGGGCTTCTGGAGAAGGTGGACCTGCAGCCTCATGCAGGTGAGGAGCAAATGCTTAGCACCTGACTTTTGACAGCAGTTGGCACTGGGGTGGGACAAGGGAGTGTGGAGAAGGTGTACCTCAGTCCCCTGTGTCCACCCCTCAGGGACAGTGTCAGCAGGCCAGGCCGACAACTCCAACAAGGACACCTCCAGCTCCAGCGATGAAACAGATGTGGAGGTAATCATCACCCATCCTGAAGAGTCACCTTGACGCCTCTGACTCTCCTGAGAGCCTGGTGGGGTTCAGACACTGTTGGGCCCAGATTAGTGTGGCAGCTTTGCCGGCAGCTGGGAGGCCAGGTGGGGGCAGAGCAGGGAAGGGTTGAGAAGTCCAGGGCTATGCAGAAGGGCCAGGGTTGTGGGAGGGACACAGGGCAAGGCTTCCTGGGAGAGATGGCCTGGAGCACATGGAGGTGGGGAGAAGAGCCATCCAGAGGAAGAGATGCAGCAGCACAGGCCTGGGCACCAGTGTGGCTGTCACATGTGGTCAGGGTGAGGGTGCCGAGAGGATTCTGGGCCCACTGGTAGATGCCAGCATAGGTACCAGGCTAGAATTGGGCAGGCCTCTCAGTTACTGGCCTTATTTCTTCTCTGAACTTTGACCTGGGAGAGGTCCCCACAAGTTATTCCTTATGTATCTGCTAAGTGCCAGACCTTGGGAACACATTGTTGGGGGTAGAGGAACCAGCCTCCATGGAAAAGGAAGGGTCTCTTGGATATTTAACTCCATTAGGGACGGTCACCAAAGGGACAGCAGCAGGACCCCAATTCTGATCCAAAGGCCCCAGGCAGAAGGGCAGCAGGTATAGAGACAAAAGCAGAGTTCATGCTTTTAAGGAACAAAGACCTGCATTTTTATGGATGAGGGGAAAAATGATACAAGATGGGGTCACAAGTAGACAAGGGCTAGGTCTGCTGCCCATCCTGGAGGACTGCCATAGAAGTTTGAGTTTATTCTACAGGCATTATGAAGACATGCAGGGTTTCAGGCACAGAGGTAAGGTGGCCTGATTTATGTTTTGCAAAGGTTGCCAGCAATGGCCTGGATTGAAGGGCAGTGCAGACAGAATAGAAGCAGCGAGACCAGTTTGGGAGGAGGGGGTGAGAATTGGGGTGCTAGTGGCAGAAGATGGTAATGACAGGGATCAAGGTGTCCAGTGCAAAAGCTCTTTTAGAAAGACCAAAAAAGGAAGAAGGAAGGGAGATCAACAAAAGTCAGGGATGTGGTGACCTGGTGTCCAAAGAACTGTCCCACCTCACCCAGTAACCTGGTGAAGGTTGAGCCCACCCCCATCTATCCCAGGCCTAGCCGTGGCCTGTTCCCCACCTTCCACCCTCACCTTTGGACCCAAGATACAGCCAGCCATAAGGAGGCGCCTGGCTCCCACCACCCCAGGCCTTGCCAAGGAGAAGGGGGCCACTCTTGACACTTGGAAACCAGTGTCTAGACACAACCTCAGTGGAGTGGGAGGACTGGGTTGATGGCAGTGCCCTGGGTCAGGAGAATCTGACGGAACATGGAGGTGAGGCAGGGCACTGACTGACAGCCATGGGAATGTAGACTTTTAGAAATCAGGGAGAGCTCACAGGAGGAAGGAGTGTTCCCGTTGTCTCTCAGCAAACCAGTGATGGACTGGCATTGAGGTCCTAGACCACTGACCTCAGGATGGCCACCATGATCAGCCTCTTTAGTTGAAGGAGCAAAGACAAGTGTTGTTGAGAGAGCTGTACCTCTCAGGCTGGACCATGTGTCACACGGGAGCTGAGTCTGGTGGCTGACAGTTCTGCCCCCAAAGCCAGAGAGCCAGGGGTTCAACCTGGGGCTTCTGTGTTGACCTGAGAGATTTGTACCTTTTGGAAAATGGGTGTAAGGGAATATCTTGTCTCAAAGTGTTGTTTGAAAATTAAATGCTATCAGGAAGGGGCTATAAACTGAAGCGCCTTCCACAGCTGTGGGAAACAGTTATTATTCATTTTCTCATTCCAGGTAAAGTCCTCAGTAGAAACGTCCCAAGTCAGGCCCTCACTTACCCTTGCGAAGGAGTCTTCAGCAAGTAAGGCAGCCCCAAGCCCTGGGAAAGTGGGGGGGGTGGCACGCCAGGCCAGAGGAGGTGCCCTCACCCCAGCTGGGAGTGCCGTGAAACCAGAGGAGGAGCCCCCCACAGGGGCACCCAGCCAAGTGAGTTCCACTTTCCATGACCCACTATGCAATGAGCACCTGTGCCAGAAAGGTCACCCTGGAGCCTGGTGAGAGAGGGAAGACCAATGTGTACATTGAGAGCAAGGACACGGCTGATGGCTTCAGCACCTGTGGACCTTACCCTTTTGAGCCATGTGGCCTAGAATGCCCAGTTCCCAGGTGGCAGATTCAGTGTCCCAGTCTGTCATGACCGTTCCACTTGCCATGGTGTCTCTGTCAAGTAAATGGCCTACTGTCCTTATCCCAGCTGGTCCTGCTGTGAGAGGACTTAAGTTTTAATTGCCTGGTCCTCTGGCTTCTCAGACCATACCAGACCCTGAGCAGGCAAATGCCTTAGCAGCTAATAAAGGAATCATGCTGGATGTAGTGGCACTGACTGTAATCCCAGCACACAGGACACTGAGGCAGGAGGATTACCATGAATTTGAGGTCAGCCTGGGTTACACAGTGAGTTGGAGGCCAGCCTGAACTACGTAACAAGACCCTATCTCACTTACTATGTAGTTCAGGCTGGCCTTAAACTCACTATATAGCCCAGGCTGACCTCAAATTCATAGTGATCCTCCTGCCTCAGCCTCCCAAATGCTGGGATTCCAGGCGTGAGCCACCCCACCTGGGTCAGTTAAAAAAATCTTTACCTTCCTCTGCCTGCTGATCCTTTCCCCTGGGAAGCAGCCAGCCTGTAGCCACCAAGGCCCTGGGTACGTTCCCAAGGGCAAGCCATAGGGGCTGGAAAGCTGTTGGCATGAGAACAGGGAGGAGTGAGAGTGAGGAAAAACACCACACCTAGGACTAGGGCAGAATGACAGGGGATGTGCCATGTCGGATGCTACAGGACATAGCATAGGCAGGGGAGGCCCCAGGAGGTGAAGACACGCACTGAGGGGGAGGAACTCTGGGGCCATCTTGGGAAGGTCATCCTGGCAGGGACCACAACAAGTTCCCACGGAGGGAGCACGAGGAGAACTAGCAATTCCGAGGGTGCAGACCCCACTGATCAGCCACCCAGCTCAGAGTGATCTTGCTGTACCCAAAGGCTGTTGAGTGCTGTGAGGCATTCTGCAGGTATGAGCTTCAACTGCAAATGAGCAGGCCATGCAAAGCCTGTCTGGAGTGCTGAGCTCTGAACTCGGGGAGGTTCTGAAGGATCAGAGCTGCCTGTTCTCCTGGGAGGGCTGGCCCAGGGATAAGCGACCAGGACCTTTCTGGGAAGAAAAGGCCTACAGCCCCCTACCAAAGCCCCAAGGCATACAGCCTGAGAACAGCAGGGAGTAGTGAGGAGAGAGCACCAGCAAGCGGGGAGGTGAGGGGTTTTCAGGAGCTCCGTTAGTGCCTCTGGGCTTCACCCTGAAGACATCACCATGGGACTTCTGATGGAGAAAAGTACACTGCCTTTTCTTTCTCTAGGTAAAGGCATCTGAGAAAATCCTTCAGGTTAGACTTGCCCCAGCCTCTGCCAAGGGGACCCCTGGCAAACAGGCCACATGTGCACTCCCTGGGAAAGGAGGGCCCTTAGCCACACAAGCCAAGGCAAGGAGGCCAGAGCAGGACTCAGAGAGCAGCAGTGAGGGAGAGTCTGACAGTGAGGTGGAGACACCACCTGTCATGACTGCACTTCAGGTGAGGCTTGGGACGAGACCTCTGCATCATGTGCCCTGCACCCTCCTTACTGAGGGATGTCACTGCCACTCTTGGATCTGTGGCTACACACACTTATCCTCTGGTTCCCCCCCACCGTCTCCCTCTCTCTAGGCAAAGCTCTCCGGAAAGACCCTGCAGGTCAGAGCTGCCTCAGCCCCTGCCAAAGAGTCCCCCAGGAAGGGACACCCTCCAGCAACCCCTGGGAAAACAGGACCTGCAGCCACCCAGGCCCAGGTGGGGAAGCAGGAGGAGGACTCGGACAGCAGCAGTGAGGAGTCAGACAGTGACGGGGAGACACCAGCAGCCCAGACCCTAACCAC